TATTCTTCATGAAGACTATGATTTACAACAACAACATACCCAACGACCCTGAACTGTAATACAAATTTTTTGTTGATAAAATCACCATTTATTAATTTTTAACTTGAAAATCCGATCGATTTCTGTCAAAATCTGTTTCGTTTTAAATTTATTTCCAATCGCATCCAATTCCATGCTGTGCAAAAATGTGTATTTCAAATTTAGCGGCAATTTTCTTCCGAATGTCATAGTTTTCGGTGCTATACACTTTCGTACATTACGATGAAATGCGGTCCAAATGTCAGTGTATAAATAATATGTGTTCGTAACGCATACATTTTCATACCAAAAAAAAAAAAAAATTTGACAGCTGTGAAACGCTACTACTTTAATGTTAGTGCTGTTGTTGCTGCTGCTGCTGCTTCTTCATTTCAAAAGGAAATTGTCAAAATGTAATAGTACATTGGAGCTCTCCATTGAATAAAAAGGAGGAAAATTACTAATTTTATTCTAAACACCGTGAATTTATGCATCGTGTAAATTATCACATTGTTTTTTGGTCAGTTAAATGAATATTATCGTAAAATTGTTGCGTACATTTTCGATTTCATCAAAAAAATTAAAATGTGAAGTGAACTTGATTTTTGTTGGAAAAAAGAAAGAGACAGAAAAAAACAATGATTCTGAAAACAATATTCGACATATCGTCATAAATGGATATCATTATCACATATTACAAACAATAAAAACCCCATTTTCAATGATCTATTTAAGCATAATCAATAAATAATTGTGAGATATAGTTGAGATTCGATATTTGTTTAAGTGATTTGCTAAGATTTGAGGTTGACATTGCTCACATGTAATGGGTGCATGTATATTCTATGATTATACATTCGTAGGACATCAAAAAAAAATATTTTTTTTTATGAAGTGAAATTATTTAACCTAAATTAAACGGGGTTCGAACAAACGAAAACGTTTTTTTATGATAAAAAAAAGTTCATTTTGCATTGATAAAAATTGAAATGTCAGTGAAAAACATTAAATATCCAAAAAACTATAGGAGTGTTTGTTGCCATGGTTGAGGACAAAAAAAAGAAGTTTTCATTTATGATTTATGTTTTCAAAAAAAAAAGTGTTTTCGACAATGCATTTTGATGCGAGACAGTTTATGTTTAGTTTATTTTTTAATTGTGACATTACATTAATCACATTTTTTTCAACAATGCAACGCATAATTTTTGATAACTTTAGTTAATGAATCATCAAGTTGGTTGTTTTAATCGAATTTATGATTAAAGAAAGTTTTTGATCTTGTTTCTGGTTTCAGATGAAGAAAAAGCACACACATACATACGAAACAAAACGGACAAATTTTTAAAGAGAAACTGATGTGGTTAAATAATTGTAATCTATTGATTTCATAAGTTATTAAGAAAACCAACAAAATTTCATTGAATTACACTGCATTCGGGAGTTAAATTAGAATTAAGTGATGGATAGGAGTCACGGCAGTAGTAAACATAGTAAAAAACGAATGAGGAAGTCCAGCAAGAAATCAAAACGACACCGAAGATCTCCATATTTGGATGAATATGATTCAAAATATGGTAAATTACGTTCATCCAAAGAGATTTTACCCGCTAGCAAACTAGTGGAGTATTCCGATGTTAGTTCCGAAGACTTTTCAGCGCCAGAAGCTGGAGAAATACAGGATGAGGATATTGCCTACTCATTTACAGATCGTAATCGCCAAAAGTAAGTTAAAAATTTGCGTTTTGTACTTACTTTTTTTTTCGTTTGTTTGAAAAGTGAAACAAGTTTTTTAAAAAAAACTGTTTTTGTTGCAGCAATGGCAATACGATGAGTCGCAATAATCCGTCGTCAGCTACTGGTAGTGTTATTGATGTAGACAATTCAAAACTATCTTCGACGCCACCTCAACGAAAACTAGAAGTTGGTTCACCTATTAGCTCATCATTATCATCACATTCAAGATCTAAAGTGAGTATTTCGATCCATTGTCACGACAACTAGGAAATCAATTAAAAAAACTTATCATTTAATAAAGAAAAAAAACGAAACCAAAACACGAAAATGAATCCAGAATTGTATTTTTTTTAGCATTCACCTTCTTCATTTCACGATGAAGATGACGACGACATCAAATCAGATGATTCGACTGAAATTGAGCGAAAGAGAAAGAAGGCAAAGAAAACAAAAAAGAAAAAGAACAAGAAAAAGAAAAAGAGAAAACGCAATAAATCCATTTCAAGTGTTGAGAATATTTCTGATAATGATTCAATGCTAGATGATGATTTAAATTTGACACCACCAATACGAACTACATCTCCTGCACAATGGGAAAAACGATACACACCAAATCGTACCGATGTTTTGTCAAAATCACCATTGACACCGCCAATCAGACCCAACAGTAACATAAGCATTTACTCAGATACAGGTAAATACAATTATTTGTTGAAATGGTGTGTGTTTGTTATTATTAATATTTCTACCAATCATAAAATGCTCTGCTGTTTCTTTTTATCATTGTTGTTATTTGAATGTTTTGTCTCAATGATCAAAATATTTATCGTTTATTGTTCTTTTTTATTGCCTTATATGATAAAACGAAAAGCGCAAAAATACATTGCATCATCGCCACATACTCCACCGTTAGTGCCCAGAAAATCAACAATAGCCGCATATCATAACAGTCCGATCGATGTGGATGCGAATTCAAGCGGAAGCCATTCACATTCGCATTCACACTCGCACTATCGATCTCCTGGTAATAATCGACGAAATATGTATAGTTCGCCTTCGCATAGTAATAAAAGAAGGCGAACAGATCGACCGTATGAACGACCAACGGACTATTCGTATTCGAAACGAAATACAGACACACAAAATCATCGACATTCGCGTGAACGAATTTCGGATACATACGATTTAACATCATCATCGTCATCCCGTATATTGCCTTCAAATCGAAAGCGTCGTCCGCCACACAGTCCATCACCGGTTCGACCAAGTAAACGACATTCCCGTAGCCACAGTCCGCGACCATTTCGTGTTGTTGGTTCACCAGCCTATTATTCGTCACGTTCAAATCGAACCAAAAATGAACCATCACCAAGAACAACACGTTCACCAACGCCACCAACACGAAAATTGGATATCAACAATAAAATTCCGGATACTAGCCTATTTGCTGAATTAGTCAAAGATAAACATAAGCGCGATAAAGTACTGAAAGAAATAAAGGACAAACAGGAGGAAAAATCGGTTAATTCGGGTGGTGAAAACTCGAACAGTGCTATTATGAATAACAATAATTTAGTGGTAATTGATACAGGTGAGTTTCATGTTCTTGTAATCATACAATAAAAATGAAAAATTAACAATAATAATAAATATTTCAGTCGATTCAGCCAGTGTGTCAACATGTTCAGATAAAATCAGCGATGCACAAACATCGAATGGAATGAAGGATACAGTGTGCTTAGTTGACATTCCAATGCCTAATGCAGATGAAAGTCAAAATGATAAAAATACCTCAAAGGAAGTAGCAACGATATCGAATCCAAATACGACGGAACAATCATCCGATGATACAAAAACAAATTCAACGGAAAAAACACAAAGCGATCTGCACCGACAATTCAATCTCATTTCAGTGCCACCACCTCCACCTCCGAATGAACCAAAATCCACATCTGTTTCAAATATTGTGATATCTAGCACGCAGCGCACGGTAAATGTTCATATTTCTTTTTATATATTCTTCGTAATGTTAAAGACACATTAAATTTAACTATTTTTCCGCATCATTTTAGGAGATGGTTAATAATACAGTCGATTTAACGCGACAACAAACAAAATTGGGCTATCAACAGGTAAATCCATTTATCAATTCACATTTTCTTTGTGTGTTACTCATGAATATGTATTTCATTCAAACAGCAAACACAGTCAGCGGGTATAACAAAATCAAATAGTATGACCATATCAAAGCCAAAAAATCTAACAAAATTACCAATGCCTCCGGGTGTGAATGTTAATGAGCTGGAAGATATAAATACGCCAAGTCCGCCAAGTACAAGTCCAGTTAGCAAGCAATCAAAGGTCAGTTCAGCAAAAGCAGCAACATCTGGTACAAATCGAAAGGGAGGACCTCTTACATTGCCAATGCCACCAATGGTACCAGCTTGAAAATTACTTACTTATTATTATTGATTGTTTTACGATTATTTTCTCGATAATTAATTCTTTTCTTTTGTGATTTTCTCCTTAGGTACCAGGTAGTGAAGACTTAAGCGGAGATGATGACTATATCAGTTCTCCAATAACTATGGGCCAGTCATCAAGTTTCAAACAGAACAACACTGGTGCACAAGGGTAAGTAACTTGTGTTGGTTTGCATTTCGAAAATTTGAAATAATTAAAAATGTGTGTGTGTTTTTTAAAATACAGAAATTGCAGCGTTGGCACCAAAAAAGATGTAAAACGTAAGCGTCCAACAATTTTGCACCGAAGAAATTCAAGAAGTCAGACAATCAAAGATTGGGGAGAGCGATGTGTTGATGTGTTTGAGGTGATTGCACAAATCGGAGAGGGTACATACGGACAGGTGCGTAAAATTAAAATGCAATTCAATGCCAAAAACTAGTCAATGTATAATGGGAATAATTTTTTTTTTCGTTGTTGATTGTAGGTATATAAGGCCAGAGATAATCAAGCAAAAGAAATGGTTGCATTGAAGAAAGTTCGGCTGGAACACGAGAAAGAAGGTTTTCCAATAACTGCTGTGCGTGAAATAAAAATTCTTAGGCAACTTAATCATAGAAATATTGTAAATTTACGAGAAATCGTAACTGATAAGCAGGACGCCCTTGAGTTTCGTAAGGACAAAGGTTCATTTTATTTGGTGTTCGAGTATATGGACCATGATTTAATGGGTTTGCTGGAATCAGGAATGGTTGAATTTAATGAAGAGAATAATGCAAGCATCATGAGACAATTGTTGGACGGTCTCAATTATTGTCATAAAAAGAATTTCTTGCATCGAGATATAAAATGCTCAAATATTTTATTGAATAATAAGTGAGTAAATCAACTTTTATATGAACGATGACACATTTGAAATGATATTAATTGATTTATCCATCATTTTCAGGGGTGAAGTTAAATTGGCTGATTTTGGTTTGGCACGTCTATATAATGCAGAAGATAGACAACGTCCGTATACGAATAAAGTCATAACGCTGTGGTATCGGCCACCAGAGTTATTGTTAGGTGAAGAGCGTTACGGACCATCAATTGATGTATGGAGTTGTGGTTGTATTTTGGGTGAATTATTTTCAAAGAAGCCACTGTTTCAAGCGAACGCCGAAATGGCACAGCTTGAAATGATTTCAAGGTTATGCGGTACACCAGCACCAGCTGTTTGGCCAAGTGTCATTCGATTACCATTCTTCCATACGTTGAAACCAAAAAAACAGTATCGACGAAGACTGCGCGAAGAGTTCATTTTTATGCCAGGCGCAGCGCTCGATTTACTTGACAAAATGCTTGAATTAGATCCAGACAAGCGAATAACTGCCGAAGATGCCCTTAAATCGAATTGGTTAAAAAATGTCAATCCCGATCAGTGAGTAGAATGTTTTATTTTCATTGAACACACACGCACACGAATCTGGAGATCATATTTTGAAAATATTTATTTTTTTCTTTTCAAACAGAATGCCGGCACCGAAGCTTCCGACATGGCAAGATTGCCATGAATTATGGAGTAAAAAACGAAGACGTCAACAGCGTGAACAAGAATCGTTGCAAAATCTTCCACCTGGAAAATCACAAACCGGAGGAACTGACGGTACCGCTCCAAATTAATTCTAAACAAAACAAAAACAATTTAAATAAAAGGAAAACAGCTGATTTATACAATTTAGTATATAAGGAATGTAGAGCGGCAGAAAGGGAATCGAATGATTGTTCACTTAGAGAAAATTTGAACGATTGTTTTTTTTAATAGTGAAACGAATTGATTGTAAGCGTTTTAACGGCAAACAAAAAAATATATAATAAATCTCGATTAATATCTCGATATGTTGGAATGCTTAAATCAATCTTCAGGATATATACATTTTTTGATCGAATACTAAATCGAATCTGATTTTTCTTATTGAAAAATAGACTTTTCTTTCATTTTAAATTTAATTTAAATAGGAAAAAAGAAAACTGGCGTGAACGCCACTGAAATCCTTCGAACATTAGTCATTGAATCAACAATAAATGGTGATTTTGTTGCCCAATAAACACGTTCATCATTTAATTAATTGAGAGTTTTGTCTTTTTTGTATTAACATATTACCAACATAAACTCAACTGTGTGAATTGTGATCAGAGAATCTCGAAAATCTTGATTATGTCAAAATAAACAAAAGCGTTTTTCAGATCAACGAATTCTTGCTAAGCATACACTATTCGTGAAATTGTTGTTTATGAAATTTTTCAAAGTGTTGTTTTTTTTAAATGATATTTAAGCACATTGCTGGTGCTATGGTGCTGGAAAAGACACTTCTTGGGTCGTCTTTTCATTCTTTTTACTAAGCGGTTTTAGCCCAAACATTTGACTTAAGAATCTTTTCTGTTATGTATATAGTTGTCTGAAAATTGACTTTACCATTTTGTGTGATAGATTTCGATTTTATATAATTATGATTGTTGAGGTTCAAAATATGTATATGTATCACAGAAAAAGAAAACGAAATTTCAATCAATTAACTATTGCTTGTGTATATCGAACGTTGACAAATGCCAATTCAGCAACAAAATCACCACATTTATCGGATTCATTCAGTGGCAAATATTGAGGATGGTTAGTGATATTCACCTACAAAACTGGCGAAAAAATAAATATTGTGTAAATAATTTTATTTTATTATCCGGAAATAAATTCAAATAGATATTTAAGCAGAAAAAAACAACTATTTTGTTTTAATTTTCGTTTTCTTCCGAATTGAAAAAATTGCGCTATAACTGCCTAGCCCATCAACTTCCAGGTTATTTAATACTTAATACTTATTTGTCAAAAAAAAAAAACACTACGTCCCGTTCACAAATGTTTTTTAACGCCTAATTCGGAAGTTAATGGGTTAAAGGGATATGCCATGATCATAGAATGATCTATAGTGAACACTAGAGTTGATTTAGAACATTGACATTTGAGATAAAACATAGATCTGTACATTATTCAATTTTTTATTCAATTAAATATTTAAAAAAAAGCAATTCGTTTTCAACAAAAATCTTATTTCTCTTTCGTTTGATTTTGAAAAATGGCAAATTCGTGTATTTTCAAATATCAGAACACATCTATTCAGCGTGAATATTTTTTTGTTGTTTAAAACAATGAGAGTCGTGAGTGAGTAAGTCGAGAAATGTGTGAAAGAGTGAGCGACTCAATTTTAAAATATACTTAATTGTTTCGAGCACTTTTATTTTCTTATAAAACGCGGATCGAAAGGCGTTTCCTCCTCATCGTCAGAATCGATTATTTTTGGATTCCAAAATCCTGGTGGCGTTTCAAACTGCGGTGCATTTCTATAATGTTTTGAACAAACGCCATATTTCTTCGGTGGATTCTTTTCCATATTACGTCCCATCATCCGGTGATACTGTTCAACCCAAAATATATTCAAAAAAAAATTGAATTTTGATTTTTATAAAAATGTTTGATTCAAATACCTGATTACAATCTTCACAATCGATCGGGTCATTTTTCAACGGTTGTGGCTTTTTAGCGATGGCTGTAGCATCTTTTTTATCGTCGAACACATGTTGATACAGTTCTTGAGTTGGTTCACTTTCATCAATTGAAATAACCTCTGTTGGATCTTTTGCCACTGCAACCACACTGTCATCGGCGATCGATGACTTTTTGACCGGATCCGAATTCGTTCTTCGGCTTAAAGCTAGATTTTTTTTTGGTGCCGTGATTGTTGACTGGCTTCTTTCAAGTTGCATTGTAAAACCTTCACAGTACGTTTCATCATCACACTACAAATGAATGTGAACAAAAAAGAGAATAGAAATTGTTTTTTTTTCTCGACTATAACCAGATTCTTACCTTGGGAAAATTGATTGTGGATTGCTTCAAATTGGTTTTAAGTGATAACTTTTTTCGGGTGCCACTTGTATCGGTTGTTTTACTGTCAAATAGACGACGTGGCGTTATGGTATTTTTCACCGGCATTTTCTTTTGCCATTTGGGCGATTCGGTCAATATCGACATAGTTTTCGTTTGATGAACAAGTGAGTTTTCGTTGGGATCATTACTGGGAAAATGTGATTTTTGTTCTTTTTTGTTCATTTCCTTGGACGGTTTTTTTGCATGGCTTTTTATCACTGTTGGGCTACATTCAACCATTGAATTTGGTTCGGTTTTAATGATCACATCGTCATAATTGTTCTCCTTGTTGTATTCCTTGTGTAGCATTAGAATCGATTCATTTATTGGGATTTGTGTTGGTTCGATGACCTCATCTTCAAACATAGAAGAGCTAAAAGCTGCATTTAGGTCTTCTTTCATCGTGTCATTTGTCGCCGATTCGTGAGTTTTATCAAGCTCAGTTTTTAATCGTTTGCGTCGATTTTCGCTCATTTCCGAATCCAATATGTCATCTGAAAGGCTAACACAATGTTTTATTCTCATTGGATCGGCTGGTTTATAAATGCATTCTTACCGCTCGGTTTCAAATGATTTTAGTGAAACTAAAAGTGCGTCACGTTCACGTTGAACATCAATTAATGCCTTTTTGGTGGCTGAATTTTTGTCGAAAAAGTGAATTGCATAACATTGTTTAATTTTTAAGATTTTATATACATAATTAATATATCCGTAAATCTTACAGGAAAATACATCCAACATGGTTTGAAATGCCCGGAAGAGATCATCATTGGGGTCAAGATCACAATTTAACACAGTCATTTTTTATGTTACTTTAAAACTATGTTGTATGTTTAAAACACAAAAATTGTTTACAAAATATACGTATCTTTTTTTTTTGGTTAGGTAAATCTTTCAATGACATTTCATTACAATCTTTCGCGGTATTAGATCTTTTTCGATTTCTGTTCAGCAACTCCATCTAGCGTAGAAGAAACATTTCTCAAATAAAATGCAAAAAATTCTCAAAGTTAATTTCATATAATGAAATTTTAATTGAATTAATATTCTATGAAACCACGAAAAATCAATAAAAAGTCATAATATTAAAAAAATAAAGCATTTTTTCCAATTGAGAGATCGCGCTCGAAAATCGGGAAAACATTAAATTGTTTATTGTTTGTGGCGCCCACATAGCAAAGCTAGGCAAAAAATACCGAACCACACAAAATATGACAAATGATTTATTCAATTTTTAACAGATATTTTGAATGTTCAAATACTCCAGTCGCACTTTATCTTCATTCGCATTGAATTAAACGGTTAAGAAGAATATCTATTACGATGGCTGTCGTTTCGAAAAAAGATATAGAAATTTTAACCAAACAGGTATTGTCGCGAAAAGATGAAATCCTTGAAACGATAAAACGCGAACACACAAACATCGATCCAACACTTTTGCCCGAGAATTTCATTCCAAAGTTTGAAGAGAAATTACGCGAAGCTGCAGAAAAGGAGTGTGCAAGTGGTGACGATGATAGTATTTCATTGGAAGATGTCGAGAATATTTGTCATCGATTTGATGTGTTAGATAAAAAGCTATCCGAACCAAAAGCATCAACGTTAACCACAAGTAATGTTGGAAACACCGTTGCACACAAGGAAACTCGTGGACTTAAACGTAAGTCACCACATTACCAGTTGATTGTAATTTTTTTTAACCATTTCTTAAATTACATCATAGGCTATGGTTCGATCACTGATATAAATAAAACTTTACAACGTTCGTCATCGTTACTGAATTTAAATGCAACTAAAATGTTTGCTGAACCAAAAGTACCGGCACGTGATAATAAACCGATTTTATCCAGTGGTAGCGATACGCTTACTCAGTCCAGTGTAGACAACACAGTTATACCAAAGAAGATTTCAGCCGCTCAGTTAGCCGAACATAATAAGATTCTCGATGAAATTCAACGTCAATCCGAACCAAATGGCTATCTGTCACAATTACGTGACATCGGTGAAAGTTATAAGAGTTCTTTTGGTCGCTTGAATAATTTTTTCAACGAAGTTCAACAGGTTCAGTCGAAAAAATCAGCAGACACAGAGTCGAATGTTTCATTAGATGGTTTGGATGAAGAGCTATTGAATAAGATGAAAATGTTGTCACAGGTAAATTACGATGCAACATGGATAGCATGTACATTTATATTTATATGAGAATTGTTAATTTCAGAATTTATCACAAGTTCGATTTATGGCTGAAAATAAGCATTTGTATAATGCAGGCGGCATTGAAGATACCAATTCTCCATTATCAGATGATTTGACAGACATTTTAGAGCATTTTTATCGAAATAATTAGAAAGTTTTCAACGAATCATCATGCATTTGCAGGCCATATGGGTCAAAGACCCTACGTTAAAAAATACATATAGAATAAAAAAATAAGTAAAGTAAATGTCCATTTTTCATAGACGCAGATCTCAGGACATAGTATATTTAATTCAATATTTATCTATTTAATTAAGTTTGGCAATTTTTCGAAATTTACAAATAAAGAAACCCGTTGAATCGATAATTGTTACTTGATTTTCCGGATTTTCAAAATCTGGACCGAAGCGTTGTACTTTTCTGCGTTCATCATCACTTAATCCGGCATTTTTTAAACCAGGATTTCCAAAAACCGGAGTGGCAGTCTCCAATTCCAATACTTTGCCGTATTTTTCTAACATATATGCAACATTTCGTTCATTTTCAGCGTCAAGCACCGAACAAGTGCTGTACACAAGAGTACCACCGACTTTTAACAGTCTCAATGCTGTATCGAGTAACTTTTTTTGTAGTTTCGGAAACGATGCCACAATATGGCGATTCAATTTTGTTGACAATATCGGTCGATTACCCAAACCACTGCATGGAGCGTCCAATAGAATTTTATCAAAACTCTCTTCCGCATACGGTGGATGGGATGGAAAATCATTTTTATGTTGTTTCATTGTCAAATCAATTGCTTTCGTTGCATCAAATGTATAAGAATGAACCGATTTTAAATGAAATCTCTTAATATTTTCTTTTAATACGATGACACGATTCTCCGATTTATCGAGTGCAACAAGTACACCACTGTCTTCCATCAATTGTGCTAAATGTGTTGTTTTATTACCGGGTGATGCGCACATATCCAAAACGATTTCGTTTGGCTTCGGATCCAAGACTCTGCTACAAACAATTGACGGAAAATTCTATAGAAGAAAAAAATCGATCGATACCATGTCATATGTTACGTTCATATTTCATGTTTTACCTGTAATAAACTACTTTGATTGGATAGATATTCACTGCCAACAGACGGTACACATGATATGGTTTGATGAACTTCAACACCAATACCTTTTGATGGGCCATCAGTTCCAAATAGTTGATGTCGTTGCATTTTCACTTGTCCCGTGCCAATGAATAGTTTCTGCACCGAATCATATACAATGTTGGTTCCTTTTTTGCATGCACCTTCGATGTCGCCAAAAATATTCACAATTTCATTCAATTTTGTATTTGTTTGCATCGCTAAAATGCCTGGACAATATATATGAGCACCGCGAAGAACTGCTGCCGCACATGGACCATCAACAATAACTTCCTTTCGTTCTGGGCATGGTTTTTTATTGATTGCACGCTCATCAAGGCTGTGTATCATAATCATTTCGGGAATCGCATCGAAACGTTCAATTAACGGCAGGCATGGTAAATGAGTGCATTGCTCAAACATTTTCAAAATGTTTGCAATTACATGATTGGTAGATGTGCTCAGCAAATTTACGCGAACTGTTGTGGTTTTTGGTGTCATTTGTAGCCATTTGATCAATTTTGATATTTGCGTGGCCTGTTGAAGAAATAATAAAATTTATGACGCAAATAAAAAATTAACATCGTTTTTTTTTTTTCAAATGCTTGCTCATTTAGCGTTAAAGAGGGGCGCTGCCATCTTCTGTCAAATTTATATACATATATGTCACCATAGTAAAGTGCAAACATATTGAAGCAAACCAATACCAAGAAAATGATATACCGCTCTCATTGCTGGCGATTTGTATATACGTTAGTATTGAGTGATTTGTTGGTCAAACAGAATTGAAATTCATTTCTTGTACGATTTTGTTTTGAGTTCAATTAAACACAGTTGTTACATTTTTGTTGCCGAAAATCAGAATAAGTAAATTGAATGATTAATTATTGAAATTGTAAAAAAAAACCGTGTAGATTAACAAAAATTAAGCCCGAAAAACGAAATCGAAAATTTTGCAAAAAAAAAAGAAGATAAAACACATACACCAATGGTTTATTGGGTCTGTTGGTTCAAAGAAATGTGAAGATATTTGAATAGTACGTCTAAATTGCAAAAAAATACACATCAATATTTACCGATAATGCACTGCCTTCAAATAGCTTCGTAATTTCATTTTCTACTTTGTTCATCGTGGATGCTTTCAGATAGTTTATGTTTATGATAAGCACTAAGAATCGGTCGCAAAAAAAAATATGTCACACTCTCTACCCCTATCTTTATTTTCAAAGGAAATAATTAGATAAGTTCAGTGATTCAACTTTGATTAGTGCAAAGTGTTCATTTTCAAGAAAAAAAAAAAGAAAGAAATTTCACAATCGTTGATGTGTATGTGTGATTTGCTAAATTTTTGGCAAATCAATCAAATATTTAGTTAAAATGTTTCGAAGCTCATTCAGTTTTCGAACATCGTTATAAGTAATCGAATTGGTTTTTAGTTCGATTTTCTTTCTTAATTCATTAAATTGCATGAGTTTATTCGTGCACGAATTCGGTGATGTGTGTTCACATGCAGAAAAGTGAAAGAAAAGGATAGAGACCAGAGAGAAAACTTGCTTTAACCATTGTGTATGCGGTGTGCGTGTATGTGTCGGAAATATGTCATGTCATAATGAAACACGTAATATGAGGATATGAGAGACATCTAACGACCCAATCCAGATTAGATGACAGATCATTTGTAATTAAACAACAAATTTGCAATCGAATTTTCTCAAAACGGTACACCATCTATGAATTATAGATTTTAATTATAGTTCAAGCAAAGATTTGTATCTGATTGCACCCTCATGTCATTTTCATTTTTTTTGCATTCATTTTTTTATTTGCTCATTGAGCCGACGTGGCATACCATTCATCTATTTAAACTGTGACCATATTGTTAACATTTTCCAAATATTTCGTTATTAGCACACGCGCAAGAGAATTTGTTTTTTTTCGCAATATACCGCTTATTCGCATTGACATCGCGTTGAAATCAAGTTCTTTTGGTTGTTAGACATGGTTTTCAAAGATGCTATCACTATGGGTAAGTGATGCACATACGAATGTCGTTGTGTTTGTATTTTATTATGCTGTCAACGATTTCTCCAGCGGTCTTTCGATCTTTCTCTTTCCTATGACTATTTCGTTATCTAGACCTTTTCCATGAAACTACTAATGAATTCCAATTCATGTTTTAATGAATTGTATCATTTTTTCAAGTATTTTATCATTTTTAAGAGAAAGAAAAAGAATTGCAACTGATGACAAACGGTCATCGATAACGCATGAATACACATGTATGCGTACATGACTGTGAACGTATGTATGTGTGTGTATATTTCTGTTACCCGCTGGTGTTACCAGTGAGTAATGCCGATACGGGTTTTCTTAAATGCAATAGTATTGGTGAAGCCATGAGTTTAACAAAAAAAAAGTGAACGAAACAACAATTAAACTTTTGTTCCAATACTAAGAACCGCTGCCACAAGCAGACACTCCATTGTAGGTTTTTTTTCCACGTCCGCCATTTTAGTAGCACACAATACACTTTTTCGGTCGTCGACAACGATTGTGATCAGGAAAAGAGTCTTGATGTTGTTATTTAATTTTTCGTTCATTTTTGTTTAAGCATAAATATTTAGTAAGTTCCAATAAATTGTTTGGTTGTTGATGGTTTTTCTTTTTTTTTGCAATAAATTATCAAAAGTTTATGTGATGGAATTGTTATAAATCAAAATTTTGTTTCCATCAGTTCAGTTTTTGTTCATTTGTGGTGGTGTGTTTGAATGATGAACGGTTACTCATCGATTATTACAACAAGTTTAATTCCACGTTTAACAAAAAAAAAATTTTTTTTTTTTACTCAAATCCATACTTTTCGAAATTCCAATGTAATAAAAAATTTACGATAAAATTAAAACCGTCGGCTTAGCGATAATCAATTTCCTCCCGGTATAGCAGTGAATATCTTACATTTTTAATAAGATTCTAATGTCAATTTACCTAAAAAAGATTGCATTCATCTTTCCATGCATTGAAATTGATGATACAAAAATTTGTGAAATTTCCCACAAAATAACATCAAGTTTTGAATTTATTGAAATTCAATTGTGATTTAATCGAAAATAATGTGAAAGATATCGAATTGGTGATGACAATTTGGATTTACAAAAAAAAAAAAAAAACCTGAAACTAAGCACTTTGGTTACATACGTTTACAGGCGCATGAATGTGTATATAGCAGTCATTAAGTGTGTGACGTGGAGATTTTTGTCTTCTCTTCGACTTTGAATAACATTTTCATATTTAATTCAAATAATGTGAATAATATTCACCAAAATGCAATTTATACGAACTGAATGCGCTTGAAATTGTGAAATTTAATTTTGAAAATCACTTGATCGCTGGAAATGAAACATATTGTTCGGAAAATGCGTGTGTATGCGCGTATGTACGTGTGTGTGTGTGTGCTCAAATTAAGTCATATCGGTGTTCTATATTCGGCTTCGTTCAAGCCCTTTTAATATGTATATGTGTACAAATATTTGGCTTCATTCTTCTTATTATTTTTTTCATTGTTCCGCGTACATTCCAAAGCATGTGGAATGCGTTAATATTAAAATCTTGATTAATTTCATCATTGATATGACTTGCGAGTAAATTGTTTAATGTTTATACGATTTTATAAGTGCAAGCCAGATCGAATTATTAACCACTATTGCATACAACATTGACTCATGAGTGCTTGAAGCTTTTCATAATGACGCGCCCTAAACCATTGCATATAGACACATGTACAAATGAAACGTTAAATATATATATATATATATACGCGTACGATATCCGTATACAAAGAAAAATGTCTCAAATTGCTTTGTTCGGCGGCATAAAATGTATATGGATGATAATATTCTAACCGATTTATATACGTAGCATGATAATATCAACTATATTTTGATTTGGTCGTTTCATATGGTTAAAGTGGACTTGAACACAATAACCCAAATGAATTACCGAAACTAAAGTCGATATTCAATCAAAATAAAATGAAAATAAAAAAAATTCGCTAATTTAGAGTAGATTCAATTTCTACAGAAAGATGAATTAATGCCACTTTTTTCTTCATTTTATCTACAGGTGTCCGATTTGGAAAAAGCCAGAAGAAAACAGCCGAGAAGAGAATATTCAAGGAGCATTGAAAAAAAAAGATAACAAAAACACCTCGTTTGAATTTGTAAACTCTTAGCCACAGCCAAGAAACGTTTATATCATTAAATCATGGGTAACGTGTTTGCAAATCTATTCAAAGGCCTTTTTGGCAAAAAAGAAATGAGAATATTGATGGTCGGATTGGATGCTGCCGGTAAAACAACAATATTATACAAACTAAAATTAGGTGAAATTGTGACAACGATACCAACTATTGGTAAGTAAATTAGTTTTCAACAAATTCAGTCAGCGCACAGCTATTATTGGGCCTCACGGAGGTGCTGGTACCTTTCTTGTATTTTGTGCCATTTGAAAAGTTCTAGGGAATATACTTACATGCTCGGTGCCAATAATTGTTTGAATAATTGTTCTATTTTTAATAATAAAAAGAAAATGGTTTTTGATACGTGATATCGATCATTTGCGAAGAATATGAAATTATTTGTGACCGTTTTTATCTCTTTGTTGCGTATCATGCAATTCCATTTCGTAACATTACCTTTTTTGTCAACGATAAAATTAACATGCCACGTATATCAAAAGATGAATGCGCCAGACGTCTAAGGATGTTTTAATTGCAACTACTTGATATCATACGTAGATTGAAACATTTTTTGAACAGCTTTAATTAGATTTTATCCCAATCGGGTGTGAATTGCAATGCATACAAGTGTATTTTCTTCTGAAATTCGTTCGCCAAATTTTGCATATCAAACACAATTTCTTATGAAAATGCCAACAAATACATCGTTGATACAAAATTATAAAAATACATTTTTTTAAATTTTTTTTTCGTTATGATTTTTAAATTTCTAGGTTTCAACGTGGAAACGGTAGAATACAAGAATATTAGTTTTACTGTGTGGGATGTGGGCGGTCAAGACAAGATCCGACCATTGTGGAGGCATTACTTCCAAAACACACAAGTAAGTAATTTTCCGCATGTAAATGAAAAAAACAAATGTTGGGTGGCATCATCATATTTTCATTTTTCGTTGTAGGGATTAATTTTCGTGGTTGACAGTAACGACAGAGAGCGTATCGGTGAAGCACGTGAAGAATTAATGCGAATGTTGGCCGAAGATGAGCTCCGGGATGCAGTCTTACTAATATTCGCCAACAAACAAGTGAGTTGAACACAATGGCAACGCCACAGCCCAGCTGTATTAAAAACGTGTAATTTCATTAAAATCTCATTTTAGGATCTGCCTAACGCAATGAACGCAGCTGAAATTACTGACAAGCTAGGACTCCATTCGTTAAGAAATCGTAACTGGTATATCCGAGGGGCAAATCACTTAAAAATTACTTATTAATTATTATTGATTGTTTTGCGATTATTCTTCGATTAGTTTCGATTATCGTCATTAATTGTAATATATGTATTACGTATGAGATTGTCAAATGACGATGATGGAAATTGAATCTATGTGAAATAAAAAGAGAGAGAGAGTGTGTGTGTGTGGATGAGTGAGTGAGTGAATGATAGATGATTGGGGAACCATTAGAATGTAAGAGAAAACATACGAAAGAAACAAAAGTCACAACAGCATATAACAGATTGCTGACGAAAAATTGAGATTTGGTAGTAGCAGTGGAGAGAACAACACACAAAGAATCAATGTTGTACACACAGTAGCATCGGAACAACGTCACAACGACGACAACATGGCGGCGCAAACGGATAAACGAAAACTGTATCAACAGCAACAAGAAATCACATTGGGGTAACAATTGTCATATTTTGCATAGTAGCTAACGCATTCGCTGTTCAATATCGGCCACTGTCAACGACAAAGCGATTTGAATGTGTTGGTGTGACAGTGTATTTGATTGCGACATTTCAAACCAACAAGTCGGCAACAAGTCACATCGTCTTGAACCATCATCAGTGTAAGAACTAAAATTGCTGCGCATAAATTTTCAGTTTGCATTGAAAGTGAAATATTCTCTCGAATTGGATTTTTGTCGATTTTTCCAAAAAAAGTGTTCGGTAAGTATTATTTTAAAATATAATATTAAACAGAATTTTCGAATTTTTTTACAAAAAATTGACTGCATGCTAGAATTAGATTGAGATAGAGAGAAACACATTGAACACAATACAAAATCATGTTAAATCATGAATTTCATCATTGCGCACATTGGATTACGGGTACCGTTAGCCAATAGTGCGACGCAGTTTCTCATGATTTTTCAAAGCCCACTTTGACTACGATATGCAATTGAATCTTTTTTTAAGATTTTTTTTTCAAATATTTTTTTTTGTTTTCAACATTCATTCATTGGCAGGAACAACAAATCGAACACATCAAATGTCGAAGAAGAATATGGACACATTTTTAGTTCTTACACTGGTAATCGTTCACAAACCGACCACAACGATGTCAGAACCCGGAAAATATGAATACAAAGGATCGGTAAGTTTTTTTTTGCATTGCATTTTCTTCATTGTGAAATGAATTTTAATTCTATCGTATCGAATTTGTATCGTTCAGTTTCTATTTTGCCCAAACTACGACCAAAGTTAACTTTAGCATAAAGTTAAAGAAATGTATCTGCGGTCGTTCCCGGGGGGGTATGTTTCAATTCGAATCAATTTCATTGCTTTCATTTAATTTCATTTACTGCAATTCATGTTCATTGTTTGTTTTTCTGTTATTGTATGTATCTAGGTAGTGACCAGCAGACCCAGAAGTACTATTCTATAGTAAGCTAGTATTTTCTTCCACAGAATCGCGATTACAACTACCAAATCTCAATTTAAAGCAATTGCTGGACATTATTGTTGTTGTGGCTATTGCTTTGCAATTTTTTCATTATATGTTTCCGATTATTTTTCGATTATTCTCCGATTACTTATCGATTATTTTAAATTTTATTCTTTTCTTTTGTGATTCTCCCCTTAGGTATATCCAAGCAACATGTGCAACAAGCGGCGATGGCTTATATGAAGGTCTCGATTGGTTATCCAATCAACTGAAAAATGCCAACCGTTAAAATCACTCTGAACAGAAACCACTAAAACAGTTGTCACATAAAATTTTCTCCTACAAAAAAAAAACAACATCAATAAAACAAACAAAACAAGTACTTTTGTGTGTGTATTTTCGCGTTCGGCTGAGGATAATGGAAACGGCGTGAAAATCAAGCGATACTTGCTAAACAATCTTACAAAAACCAATAAAAACTCAAAAGCAAACATTATAAACAAAAAAAAAATCATTTCGCAACAACAGCACATTGAGGTAAAACTGAAAGTGGAATAGTAACACAAATGAATTACAATAAATATATATATATAAAAGAAAAATAGGCAAGTTGGAGAAATAATGTGTTAATTGAATAAAAAACACATACACACACAGAACATACCTAAAACTTTAATATTTAATAAAATAGTACTAATGATAATTTTTAAAAAGAGTAATTAAAAAAAATGAAGAAGACAAAGCTTAAAAAAGAAGTAAGATGAAAATTATGAACATAACTAAAATGAAACTATTTGTTAAGAGCAACAGATACACACACATACACACGTATATAAAGATATTTACAATAAATCGAGAAACAAAAACTGATTATGAAATTACTGTATTTACGCAGAACCCAACATACAAACGAATATTAATGGTTCTCACACCATCTTCTTTGAACAACACTCTTTTTAGTTCTCTTTTTTTTTTCATTATGTTTATATTCCTCGAAGTCGGAAATGTGACACAACTTCTTCTTCTTCTTCTTTTTTTCGTTCAAGAACAGTTTCGGTCCATTATTATAAAAGCATCATACAATTGGATCCCAAAGCTAGTGTGATCGTTAACAATTCGTCTATTTCCACTTTATTTTATTTTTTTATGTTCAAATTTTGCAATAAAAAGTATTTTTTTTTGTTTCCTTTATTCAGAAAGCAGAAATACTTTAAACTTGGAAAACAAAATTCTTTTAAGTTGACTTTCGAATAAAAAGTCAAAAATATGATAAATTTAAGAGATAAAACCTTACAACAAAAAAAACAAACAAACTTTCTCCTACTCGCAAACGTGAAAAATGAAAATTAAGATTCCAAAATAAAATTTTAAACAAACCATCAAGGTGATTATTATTGAGAAGAAAAAAAAATCAACATTAATGTATCTGTAATTTTGTCAATAAAATTGGGAAAAGCCAAAAAAAAAACTTTTCCCGGGACAAAAAATGTGTGACGATAGTTTAAAATTGATTGCCTCTAACAATTTCTACATCTACCATTTAAATGGATTAACGTTGAAACTTTAGCTGAAATTAAAGGAAATTCAAGCCTACATTCAAATCGGAAACGAATGAAAAAAGCAAACAAACTCAAATCAACCACTCAATCATAGTAAAAGTGTACTTTCAATCGTTTTCAATTTTCTAATTCTGCAAACGTAAATTCAAATGAAATTTTATTGTTTTCTTTTTTGTGGTTTTTTAAACGCTATCGCTGTCGTTGGATTACTTGGTTTTCCATTTATTTCTTGTTTCGCCGCTAATCATAGACAAACGCCCATTTATAAAATACACCATGTGACGATTATATCATTGCGATCAAAACATTAGAATTATAATCCATCGTCAATCGCATTCAATAATCGGAATTGATGATAACACGCTTAGTCAAAGAAATTCGGTCGAACGCATGTGTTGGCCCTTTCAATTGAGGCAAACACACAGAGAGAGAAAAAAATGAAAGAATATTTGAATTGTATGTGTGCTGTTGATTTGATGTCTTTTATGTGTATGCATATGAATTTATATTAAAGAAAAATGAAACATTCCTCATTGTATTTTGTATTATTTGACCATTTATTATTCGGTATGAAAAAGGTATGTTTGATAATGAAAAATATTGAGCATTATTCTTGTACCGTTGGTAAATTCGTAATTTGGAATAATAATTATTTTTTTGATTTTGGATGTGGGTTCATACATAGTGGACATCCTCGTTTTCAGGACCTTTTGAAATTTTGACAAAATTTAACCAATATTTATGAAGAAGAGAATAAAATAAGTTTTCGAATAAACGTCGAATGCATGCGTGAAAACAATGAAAAGAATCGGAAGTATTTTTGATTTTACTTTTCCGCACACACCGAGCTAGGGGGGAGACACCAAGAATAAATTCCGAATCCACTACATAAATTACTAATCCAGCTATTCCACTAATCCAAAAACACAAATGTGGAATCGAAACTATTTTTCCTATTCCATGCACTGTTTCCGTCAAAAATGTTAATTCTGCTATTCCACACTATTCCACTAATCCATCAATAAACGTCAAAAGAAATGTCAAATGGATTTGAAGTGAAACAATTTTTGCTATTCCATGCACTGTTTCGCTATTCCACGCGAATCCATTCACATACGTTGCTATTTCATTGAAATTTCTCGAATCTTTACACTAAAAGTCTAATCCTATTCCACGTGTCTGCCCCCTAGACACCGAGTGTGTAAGGTTAAGAATTGGAATCGTTTGAAAAATTGGCTCACTGTTATTAGTTCCACGGATGACAACCTCATCCGTACCCGTTCGGATGCGGGTATATATTTTATCCGTATCCGTTAAACTAAGTTCGCGAATATGGATGAATTGTATGTCCGTGGGATGTGTATCCGTGGAAAGTTCTTAATACATCCATCGCTATTTCTGTATTCACGGATAAAATAAAGTTTTGATGTAGTTCCAAATTTATTTTCCGCACACTATGCGCATTAAAGAATTAAAATCAGCTCACAATTTTGAAATGCACAAAAATCATTTTTCAACGCGTTTTGCCCCAAGAGATTCAAGAACAACGGTGTTTTACCCTGTTAATACCGGGATGTGGTAAGCAGTACATCGTACGCATTTCTTACCTTTTTGTTAGAACAAGAACTCTTCTCATACGTGTACGTCGACTTAATCGTGCTGAGACGAATATATACTTTTTTCATATTCATTTAAATCTGCCAGAACATTCATATTCGTTCATTAAATGTCTGCTGAAAAATGTCAAACGGACATCAAATATTCAAATATATCCGCCTAAATCTCGAGTACACCGGCGGCACTCTTTACAGCTCGCGAATCTGTTCGCACGAGAAAACCGAATCTGACTTTAGTTTTGCGATATAAATAATTTTCAACACACTTTTCATACAAAAATGTCAAAAAAATGGATTTTTGTATGGAAGCCATGCCTGTATGATATCGTAATGAACTGAAACTTTGCACAGGTTATTTTTATCACACAAAAATAGCATTCTGAGAGTTTGAAGAAATTTCAATGCATATTTTGTATGGAAGGCACCCCTAGAATGTATTGAAATTTCTTCAAACTCTCAGAATGTTAGCTTTTTGTGAAAAAAATAACCTCTGCAAATTTTCACATGATTACGATATCATATATAGGCATAGCCCCGATACAAAAATTCCAATTTTTAGTAGTTTTTGTATGAAAAGTGCGTCGAAAGTTATTTGTATCGCAAAATTAATGTCAGATTCGGTTTTCTCGTGAATTAAAATTTGAGTAATAAATGCATGTTGTGGACCACAGTGCGGAAAAGTTTATCTTACGGATGTAAGACATTTTATTCCAATTTAAATTTATATCATTTATCGATCCAATATAATATAAAATCAGATTTTGCATATAGTTGCTAGCAACAGATCAGAGGTCATAGAGAGTCAAAAAGGATTGTATTTTCACGAGGTTTCACCTGAAAGCATCATTGCATTAACAAGGGGGTTGCAGGGATACGACAGAGGGTGCAAAATTCTAGAAGTATAAAATATTACAAAAAATTATAAAAACTACAGACATGTAATTTAGCATCAAAAGTTCATCTTCTCTAGATTTGAAGTATATTCAAATTATATAAAAACACAAATTAATACATTCAATTACTTTTCTTTCAAAAAAAGTAGTTATTTATTTTTTTATAAATGCATCAATACATTATTCTATATTATAAAAAAATCTAGTCATCAACATTTATTTCTATTTGAAGAAAAAAAAAACAATTAAAAGTTTCATGCAAAAAATCAATATTTCTGTGTTGCTGTTTTACCGGTTGCACTAGTAGTAGGTTTTAGTAATAAAAATATTAGGTTCTTCTGTTGCGACAAGTCGTCAAAGAATGTTCTCGTCGTCGTTTTGCCGATGGTGATTCAATTTCAATATCTTCGAGAATGTTAAATTTACGTTTCATTGTTGCAATTGGACCCGATTCATCTTCATTTCGGCTGAAGCCATGATTCTCCTTGTATTGGTAAGCCCTTCCATCCAAAATATCTAGCATAATGTTAATATCATTAATCGTCTCCATATGTTGTAAGCCCGTCCCGTCAAAGTCATCTAGCTGTCGATGAAGATATTTCAATTGGAGCCGGAGATACTTCACTTCGGCTGAAATCATGATTGTCCGACCCATCTGGCATAAAATCATTATCAATCGTCTCGATCGGTGTAAATTTTCCAATTGGGCCCGAAAAATCTAGCCTCCAATAACTACCATGAATCGCTTCGGTCGAGCTCGCCTCATCAAAATCAATATCATGAACCGCTTCGATCGACGTATATATTTCAATTGGGGCCGGAAATACTTCACTTCGGCTGACATCATGGTTTTCCATGTATTGTAAACTTGCAGAGAGACGACAGAAAGTCCAAAATCCAAGAGGCAAAAATATTTCATGTCAGGTAGCATTAAAAATAATTCATTCATTTGATTTTCTTGCGAAAAAAAGTTGCTATTTATTTTTTATAAAGACATCAATACATTATATTATAGTATGAAAAAATCTGGAGATTAATAGTGTCAAAAACATTAAGAGTTTCATATAAAAAATCAAAAATATTTCAGAATTTACGTGGTTATTTGTGATTATACAGCTCATATATAACACATAATTTCCAAAAATTTGACAAAAAATTCATTTGGTTGTTCAAATCCAAAACTTTGTGGTTAATATTCTAAGCCTGTGTGATTTTACAATTTACAGTAAGTCAAGTTATTGTTTACTAGTCAAAATGTGTGACTATTCGTGAAAATGCGTCGTTATACGCCCATAAAAGATACTTCCGAACAATGGCATCAGCAGCTTCAACCTGATTAGGTGCATCAAGTTGGCCCGAGTGATTTGCATTCTGAGCCAAATTATTTTCCAAGGCGATATCAATTGTAGAATTAAGCTCTTGTATCAGCCAAGTCATCCAAGAATGTCGTCGTCGTCGTTTTGCCGATGGTGGATTAATCTCAATATCTTCGAGTATGTTGAATTTACGTTTAATTGATGTTTCAATTTCTTTAAGTTGACGTTTGAAATTATTATCATCATTATTAGAATCGTTTAGCGTAGACATCTCAATCGGGTCCGAAAGATCTTTATTTTCATTCGAACTATTTTCCAAGTCGATGAAGCTAAGTTCTTGCAATAAATGCGACATCTTCCAAGTATTTCCTCGTCGCCGTTTTGCCGATGGCGGTTTCATTTCAATTTCTGAGATATCGATGGATTTATTTTTCACTGCTTTTTCCATTATTATTAGTTGAAGCTCAGTTTGTTGTCAAAATTCGATTTTATTT